TTCTTTCTCTTCTAATAATTTTTTCCTTACCTCCTACCTTATCTATTTGCTTTTATATTATATTTTTCTTAACTTTTTATAGTAAAATCATATCTCTCTAATTTTTATTTTTTTAACTCTTTAATTCTTTTTCAACAACTGATATATATATTTATATATATATTTAACAGCCAACAACTGATATTATTCTCTATATATATCTTTCTTAATCAATTGATAATTTTTCACTTTATTTTATACTTATATTACTTTTACTCTAGTATATTATCTTCATATATCTCTCCATATTAATAATTTATATTTTTATTATTCTTCCTTCCACCCCTCTCTATTGTTCTTCGTTAATCATATATATATATATATCTCTCTCTCTCCATTATTATAGTTTTTTAACCCAATTTGTCTTCCTTCCTCTCCCTTTATTTTTTTTTTATCAGCAAAAAGAATTTATTAATATTGGAGCACAAGGGGTACTCCTGCCCATTACAAAAAAGGAACATCTACTAGCCTGATAGAATGACAAAAATAAAAGCATCCACAACAAGCTGCAAATCAAATAGCATCTCAAAAAGCCCTATACATAATCAGGGTAACAACTTCATCATGCATATGCCCACTATTCTCACTGTTGTCTCTCAATGAGGGGAAAGACCATGTATCTCTCCAGACTTAGGCTTTACCCATTCCTTTCTGCTGTTTATGGAACAATTTCTGCATTTGTTTATATTTTCTCACTGATAGATCACATTCAACTGGTTTTACCTTCCATTCATGAAATGAAAAGACACACCCATGAATCTTAGTCTTAATCCAGAAAAATGATTTGGCTTGGACCATATCCATTAATCTTCCTCTAATGTTATTTCCATTTTGAAACACCTCACCGTTTCTCCAATACCATAAATACCATGCAGCCACAAGGAAGATACAAGCACCCATCTCCTTCCCTATTAACCTACCCAAATCATTTACAAAAATGTCTGCCACACTTAACACGTTATTAGGCATAACAGTCACCATGCCCCACCATTGCATCACCTCTACCCAAAATATCCATACTTCCTTGCACATATTAAACAAGTGATTAATTTCCTCCACCTTGTCCTTACACAAAACACATTTTAATTCCTCTTCCTGCAGAGGTACCCCTCGCTTTCTAATATTCCACTTAGTTGGAAGCCTATCAAGGCATAATCTCCACCCAAAGAAAGACACTTTAGATGGAACTAATTTACACCAAATTAACTTACTCCAATGCTCGTCAAGAACACATTCTGTTGGGGCTAAAAAGTCGTAAGCATTCTTCACCCCGTATCTACCCTCCGAATCATGTATCCACCTCCAACAATCTTGCACGCTCTTCTTTAATTGTATCCTCTCCAATCCTTCCCTTAGCTTCTCCTCCTCGTCCTTTTCTCTCCCTATTCTCTCTCTCCTCCATTCCATTTTCCAACACCATTTGTCTCCCTCCCATACCCCTATATCACTAATCTTACACTCCTTGTTCGTAGATAATTCGTACAATCTTGGATATTCAACCCTTAAAGTTTTGTTCCCTACCCATGGGTTACTCCAAAAGCTCACTCGATTCCCTTCCCCTACTTCCCACTTAAACCCCTCCACCAATATATTACTTAGTTTCATGGATCTCCCCCCTATATTAATAATATCCCTCCATAATTTAGACATCCTCCTGTTCCCGAATGCTGTAATGTCCACCTCCTCCCACTTGCCCCCATAATATTTCTCCTTAACAATCCTTTTCCATAAGCTCTCTACGCCATCCCCGAACCTAAACCACCACTTTCCTAAAAGAGCCCAATTTTTCCTACGTAAGTCTGACACCCCCAATCCCCCTTTTTGCTTACTACAACATACATAATCCCATTTCACCCAAGAGATCTTTTTTTGTGACTCAACCCCTCCCCATAAAAAGGTTCTCTGAATACTAATCAATTCAACAAGCACAGAATTTGGAATTAAAAACAGTGACATATAGAAAATAGGTAAAGCAGAGAGTACCGAGTTGAGCAGAGTGAGGCGGCCACCAAAGGATAGTGAAGCAGCTTTCCAGACAACGAGTTTGGCTCGGAATTTGTTAATCAGTGGCTCCCATACCTTCTTTCTCCCAGTATTTCCATCAACGGGCATTCCCAAATAAATGAAAGGAGATTTCCCAACACCACAACGTAGCATGCCGGCTGATCCTTCTACCCATCTTACTAGCACATTGTATCTATAAATGCTGCTCTTACTGTAATTAATTCGAAGACCAGACATCAATTCAAACCATCGCAGGATTGTTTTAACCATAAATACATTCTCTGTATCAGCTTTTCCTATAATAATTGTGTCATCTGCGAATTGGAGTAAAGAACTCTCTAACCCCATCCTGCCAATTTCTACACCTCGGAACAGCCCCTCTATCACTGCTTTTTGCACCAATCCATTTAACCCCTCTCCAATCATCAAGATAAAAGCGGAGATAACGGATCACCTTGTCGTAATCCTTTTTCGACCTTGAACTCCTCTGAGGGGCTGCCATTAACTAGCATTGAAATTCTAGAAGTCGATAAGCATTCCATGATCCAACTTCTCCACTTGGATCCAAAACCCATTCTATCCATCATCCATTCCAAAAATGACCAATTTACACAGTCATATGCCTTCGCAAAATCCGCTTTAAAAACAAAAGCCTGCTGTTTCTTTCTCTTTACTTCCTCAACCACTTCATTCAACACCAAAACCCCATCAACTAACTGACGCCCTCCCAAAAAAGCAGATTGATTTTCACTAATAATCCCCGGGAGCACAGATTTAAGTCTATTAGCCAACACCTTTGCTAACAGTTTATACACACATCCAATTAAGCTAATGGGTCTATAGTCCTTTAATTCCACAGCATTAAATTTCTTGGGTATTAAAGTTAGGAAAGATGAATTCAGCCCACTAACCAATCTACCATTCTGATAAAATTCAGAAAAAAAAGCTCATAAAATCTTCCTTTAAATTATTCCATGCAAATTTAAGGAAGGTAAAGTTATACCCGTCTGGGCCCAGAGCTTTCGAGCCTTCACAACTTCGTAACGCTTCCTCAACTTCTTTGGTGGAGAATGGTCGTTCAAGCCATTGATTTTCCTCTGTGGAAATTTGCTTGAAATTAACCTCATAAGGCTTTGGTCTACTCCACTTCTTGAAAAAGCTTGCTGAAATAGTTCACCGCCTCCTTCTTAACCTGTGTTGGTTCTTCCACCCAACTTCCATCACACATTAGGCTTGTGATCTGATTTTGGGCCTTTCTCCCATTTGCAACTCTATGAAAGAATCGCGTGTTTGCATCTCCCACACGTACCCAATTGCTTCTTGACTTCTGTTTCCATATCACTTCTCTCTTCCTCATTATGTCCCACATTTTCTGAAAACCTTCTTGTCTCTACAGAATCTCAAATTCATCCAGATCAAGCTCTTCATTCTTCATATCAATCTGCTCAATCTGTTTAACAGCATGTTCATATTGAGCTTCCATGTCTCCAAATACATCTCGATTCCATCCTTTTAAAAACTCTTTTAACCCCTTTAATTTCTATTTGCATTTGTACCCTGCAAAACCATCAACCTCCATTGATTTCCATTTCTCCTTGATTATCTTCTTAAAATCTGGATGGAGTAGCCATGCATCCAAAACTCGGAATGGCTTTGGTCCCCAGTCAGTTGTTCTTGATTTTAGCACAATTGCACAATGATCCGAGATGTTCCGTTTCAAGCCCTGTTGCACCCAATCTCCCCCCATTCTACACATCTCTGCATTCATCAACACTCTATCCAGTCTACTCATGGCTGTACCATCTGGCTTGTACCATGTGAATCGTCTATTTACCATTTTGATATCTATTAGGCCTGCTGATAGGATAAACACATCAAACTCCCTCATATCTGGGCTCTCCCCTGATCTTCCCCTTCTTTCCTCAAGACATCTTACAGCATTAAAGTCACCCGTAATCAACCATCGCCCCCCCTCTTCTGTGATCATATTCCTTAACTCATCCCATAGCTTGAGTCGTTTCTGTCTATCATTTGGACCATATACGTTCACTAGGTTACACTTCGCCTTATGTATTCCCCACTCCCCTGTTATTCTTAGATAGCCATCCCCTGTGTAATCTCTCGTCTTAGCAAAATTCTTTTTATTCCAAAAACACATCAAGCCTCCTGATGCTCCTATCGATTCCTTCATTACCCAACCACACTCTCTCGAGTTCCACACTATTCTACTCAATTCATCATCCATCCTTTCTAGCTTAGTCTTTTGTAGGAATAGAAAATCTGGTCGTTCCCTTTGCACCAAATTTCCTATCTCTTTCCTCTTCAACACACTACCCAAGCCCCTTACATTGAAAGAAATCAACTTCATCAACTAAAAACTCCCACACCCACCTAATCACTACTACCATACCCTTAAACCCGCTTCCCCTGTCGTTCCCCTGCTTCCTCCCTTTCTTGTAACTCCACTAATCGAGACTGGATTTCCCCTTCATTTTCTTGGGTTTGAAATCCCAATCTCTTCCCTATGCTTAACATCTTCCTCACCTCATGTAAAATCATCTCTCTTCTAAGCTCTCTGTTTCTATTTGCAATGCATCCATCAGAAATTGAACAACTACTGACTAGATTTACATTGTTCGCCAACCCCGTTGAAGATTCCGCTCTCCCTTTGTGTCGTTGGGTTGCTCTTGCATTTGTCTCCTGCATCTTCTTTGTCCTGCTTTTCGCCAAGTTCTTTGGGTAACATTCCTCCAGCTTTCTTCTTCGTTTGTTTCCTAATACCCTCAGATCCAGATCTGGTTTTGGAAAAATCCCCTCTTCATTTGTCTCATTGGGCCCTTTCTTTTTAATTCCCGTCGTATGTCCGTGGCTCAAGTCCCTTCCCTGGCCAATTGCATCTTTCAGTCCAATTTCTCCTAGCCCAATTTCTTTTGTTATCTTCGGCCCAATATCTTTGGTCGGCCCACTACACACATCCTCTCTCCCATCATTTCCTTCTTCTGTTTGCCGACTCTCCCTTTTTTCCTCTGTTTTTTTGAACTTTGAATTTGAATTCCCCTGTCCATCCATCATTAAATGCTCCTCATCAATGCTAACGTCTTCTTCATCGCAGATTTCGAAGTTTATCCAATCCTGATCCTCCTCATCTATCTGCTCTAAAGAATGCTCTGAGGACTGTTCCAAGGACTGGTCCGACTCCGTTAGTGACTCATCCCGCCGCTCATCATCTGACAACCACCAATCTGGGTCGGATCGCCATTCTTCTTCATCAACTCGTATCTCATACAACTTTTCTTCCATCTTCAGTGTAAATCTTTTAGATATCTTATGATCAACAGAGCATATAACTAACATTCTCCCATCACATAGAATTGACTTCATCTTTGTATCTTCATGGATCTTGATCACCTCTCCGACTGATTCTCCGATCATCTTAAAGCATCTATCACTCCATGCTTTCAAAGGAATACCAGAGATACGTAGCCAAACCATTCTACTTCGTTCCTGTACTTCCTTATCCCATGATTGGATGTCTTCAAACCACAAAGCTAATACTTCTTGATTGAGCTTCATAAATTCCAATAAGAAACCCGGTTCCTTTTCAGTTAATAGCACTCTTCTGCCCCCTAATGGTGCTAGAGTGATCAGGCCGCCATCTACGTCAATTCTCTGTTGAATTTCATTGATCATTGTTAGAGATTTGACAATAGCTACCATGCCCCCTTCAAGCCATTGGAGTTCACTCTGCTCTGGTATAAATTCCATAATTTCCTCCTGTATTTCCAAACCCGACTTCTCCACCATCCGTTTTTTGTTATTCATTGTGTCACAGGATGCCACTTCCTCCTTCCATTTTTGTTGTCTTGCCTGACTTGGAGTCTTTTTCCGATGAGTGTTGTCCCTTTTTTCCCTTTCCATCTTTCTTCCACAAATCAGCATATGTTGAGGCTTCTGTTCTTTCCCTTTCACTGCCTGGGCATAAGTTTGTCCTGGTTGTACCATCCTGTCTACTCTGTACTGTTTTCTACCTCCTGTATCTGCCTCCTTTACTCTCCCATTGCTTCGCTCCTCTGCTATTTTCACTCGCAGCTTGAATGATCCAAACCAGATGTCATTAAGTCTCCTCACCATCTGGTTGTCATTTTGTACCCCTAACAAACGTAGAAATCCATACCTTCTCCCTCATTTGTCTCGCTTCTTTGGCAGATAAACATCTAACACTTTTCCATACCTCTGAAAGCTATACCATAAATCTTTCTCCTCACAATTTTCTAGGAAATTGTAGAAGAAGAAAGTCTTTATCTGTCCTAAAAGCTTTTGATCTACCCCCGAAATCCACTGCTTGAGCCTCTGCCACTGTCTGGTGCCGTTGGCCTCCCCTGTCGCCGCTCCTCTCACTCTAACCCTCTGGCTCTGCATTTTTTCAATGACAAGCACATAGATGATTATGAAAATTTCTTCCTCTCCCTTTATATATGTTAAAAATGTTTTCAAGTTAAAACATAAAAAGCATAACTTATTAATGTTATAATCTTAGTATTTAATTTTTTTGCTTACCTTTATCTCTCATTATTTTTTGTTAAAGCTACATCTCTTAACTTTTTCTCTCACATTTTTTGTCATCATGTTTATTTCTCTACTCTACATATTATTTTTTTCTTTATGATACTCCTATCTCTATCTTTCTTTCGTTTAGGCATTACATGTATATAGAAATAATTGGCCTCCCCTAATTATTTCATGGTAGATTATTGTATAATTATATAATATAATATTTTAGATTTATTTCCTATTCTATCCATTCTTATAATTATTTATTTCCTATTCTATTAATTCGTAGAATTATTTATTATTTTTTTAAAGTCTATTGGGTATTTAGCCCATTGGGTATTGATTGAGGATTTTTTTAAAGTCCAATAGGTGTTTATTAATTTTTTTATCAACAAAAAATAATTTATTACAGAGGTATAAATGGTATCTCAAACCCATTATATCCACTAATTATAAAACCGTCCAAAAAAACAAGCATTCAATTACATAATACAAGCATTCTAACTAAAATTTTATCTAACTGTCATAGCACAATCAGAAGGGTATTTTCCAATTCATAAAATGTGGAGATAAAACCCTTAGCCACAAGGAAGATCTGATTTATTGATAAAGCCAATGGGTATTTATTGATGATTTTTTTAAAGTCTAGTAAGTATTTATTTATGAATTGTAAAGAAAATCTTATTCTTATAATAGTTTTATATAAAGTTAAGATTTTTTTTTTTTAATTTCAAGATAAATAATCTTTTTTCTTTTTAACCCTATTTTTATTTTTAAGTTTAATTCTTCATCATATTTTTAAGTATATCCTATAATATAAATTATAGAACTACCTTTCATTGAATTAGGGA